ACCTGGTGGTAAACCAGTATAATACCAGTATACAACCTGGTGATAAACCAGTATGATACCAGGTGGTAAACCAGTGTAATCCCAGTATGAAACCAGTATGTAACCAGGTGAAACCAGTCCAGACCAAGTATCAACTCAAACTGAAAGTTAGTCTGAAGCTGTTGAAATCAGTGCAACAAACAAGTTGACAGCCCGCCGAAATTCAGTCCAGAACCAGTTAAAAACCAACCCGGAACCAAGTAGGAAACCAGTTTAAAACCTTTTACCAAACCAAGTGCAAAACCAGTTTGAACCAGATCTGAACCCAAGTCCAAAACTAAGCCAGAAAGAAACTCGTCTAAAACCACCAAGTAAACCATCTAAGACTAGTTTTTAACTAAATCTGAAACCAAGTCTAAGACCAGTTTAAAGCAAACCTAAAACCAGGTCAGTCAGAACTCAGTCCAGAACCAAAACCAGTTTTTAACCAAATCAAAACCAAATCTAAAAGCAGTCTTAAAGTAGTTTAAGCCCAAAGCTTCAGGAGGATTCAGTAACTCTTCGGCTGATGTGTCCCGAACGTGGGGCCTCCTGATTCTCGCCATGTTCTCCTGACCTTGGTGTGGTTCTAACCCGGTTCTAACCCTGGTTCTGCTTGTTGTTCGTGTTCAGACACCGGCCTGGGAGACTCGGTCTGCTCCAGTCCCAGCATCTCCAGCACCACCAGTCCCAAGATGGAGCCGCCGCCGTCGCCGCACGCCAACCGCAAGAAGCACCGGCGGAAGAAGAGCACCAGCAACTTCAAAGCCGACGGCCTCTCTGGTACTGCGGAAGGTAACGCCATCTCCCCTCCCCTCACCTCGCACTTTCCCCGCCCCGGTCCGACCGCCAAATACACCCCCAAGAAACTACAAACGTACGCTAGACCTAGAAAAGTGTACGTACCGACGTGCACTCTGCTTCTGGAAGTGCACGGATAGATGTGCTGTCAGACGCTTTAGGATGGACACCAATGTGCTTCAGACGTACAAGTTAAAGCATTTATTAACCACTCAAGGTTTAGAAAATACATAAAAACCAGCCCAAAACCAGGTATTGAACCAGTCCAAAACCAGGTATTGAACCAGTCCAAAACCAGGTATTAAACCAGTCCAAAACCA